ATGAAAACTAAGAGTTCTAAAACTCTAATGCGTGATAAGCCCTTATATTCGGCTGTGAAAGCTGGTCAATTGCTAAACATCGTGAAAATGAAATAGAAGCCACACAACATGAGTGATTTCTCAGGAGTCTGTTGAGAATTTGAGGACAAGAAGAGAAATTGATTTCTAAAAAGTAATACTAAAAAAGCCCACGAGAGATCTCACTTTAAAAAATGTACGTAGGAAGAGAAAAATGATGTAGTTTCTGGGATACTTGAATGGACATGAAGGCCTTGGACATCTTGCTCCAATTCATTAAAAAATAAATGGCAAACGTTGCAGGGGTAGACCAAGAACAAGTTTCGGGCTGTTCAAATATAATCTGACACCAATTGGGGATTGTTTGCCGAATTCAGACTTTTAACTCCGTTTCCTGGCCTGCTTGTCGAAGTGGGTACATCCATTCGTTAAAGTGATGCTATCCCGTTTGCCGAAGTGGTTCTAACCCGTTTGCCGAAGTGGTTCTATCCCGTTTGTCGAAGTGGTTCTATCCCGTTTGTCGAAGTGGTTCTATCCCGTTTGTCGAAGTGGTTCTAACCCGTTTGTCGAAGCAGTTCATATCATAATATTTGCCTGTATACACTTTTCTTACATTTGCCCCCCCTCCCCCAATCCCGTAATATTACATTGTTCGCTTATAATAATATAACATTTATATCGCTCAAATCCGAGCTACTATCCTTGTTTTTTGAGCTCTACATAATAAATAATATTCATGAAAAACATGCATACACACAAACATGCACAAAGTAATATATTATTATGCAGTTCTACATTCACTTAAAAATATCAGAGTAAATCATTCAAGTAAAATATTGCATACACACTTTCCTACTAACAGTAATAAGGACAAAAATGAGACTCATGTCAATGTCAAAAGAAAACACATTACAGTAGAATTCTGATAAAGTCAACACCTCGCGACAGAAAAAAGATGTAGTATTACAATGTTTCAAGACATCCCCCC